GCGTGTGCGCCGTTACGAGACGCAGAGATTGATACCCAATTTTAAGGTCCTAGGTCAACCGGTGACCTTTGAGGTCAGGTCAAGTGCCCCAAGGTACGGTTCAGTTTTTGGTGAATAACTTCGCAAAAAACGGCCGCAGAGCGCCGATTTTGGCAGCATCGTGTTCGCCTCGCTCAGGCGCGTCGAATGATATACTTTTTGTTCGGGTCAGGTCAACTTGGGGTGTTGACCTCAGGTCAAGGTCAGGTCAGCACCCCCAGGTCACGAAGTTGGTTGAAAGAGGTCATGTCGCATATCATTCGATTCGGCAGGTCTTCCTGAGTCCACTGGTGGCTTTCCCGACTCGCTAGCTCAATTTGTCAAGAGTTATTGACGAAAAACTAATATGACCTTGATGACGTCATAAATGACGTCACACAAGGTCAACATTGCAAAAGTGACGCATCTAACCTTGCAAGGAGTGCATCAAATCACGATTCGGTGTGCTTGAGATAGTTGGAGATCGTTCCCGGCGCCAGAATAGTAGGTTTCATTTTTCCCCATTGACTTATAATGGTGAGGTCACGAAAATGACCTGACCTCATATGACCTTTAGGAAAAATCCGAGATATAAAAGTTGTGAGACTCATAATGGATACTAGATCCTGCAAGTTTCATTTCCTTGTGACATCTCCTCTGGCAGTGAGGGCGTTGCGAAGTTGCGACATCTGAAGACCGTGCAGAGGTTCACTTATGACGTCATAGGTCAGTGACCTGACCTGATTAAAAAATGCGGTTGGTGTCAAAAGATCCGGCTTGAAATAAAGGTCAGGTATGCCAAGGTTCAGCTCTCTATCGCCGGCGTGTTCGGAGCTATCGCGACAAAAACCCTATGGGGGGGGGGTGGCACCCGCCCCCCCCCCCCCTTCTCGGCCGGCGAGGGTTAAACCTTGCCAAGAATGTATGAAGTCACGAGTTCATGTGCTTGAGGTATAGTTTTAGGTCATCATTACGGATTTGCATCATTTTACAACCGACGACCGTGCAGTCTGCAGAGGTTTACTTAACCCTCGCCGGCACAGGGGGAGGGGTTGATGCAACCCCCCCCCCCATAAGGTTTTTCGCGAATAACTCGCGTAAAAAGCGGCCCATCGCGAAGAAACTTTCAGTACCCTCGCATTGATCAATTTTACACGTTCCCTGAAAATTTCATGACCCTGACCCCAATGACCTTTGACCTGTGACCTCTTTTCCGTGACCATGTTTGGCCGAAATCGCGATTCGGCGATGTCGGCTCGCATTAGCCGCGCGTTTGCAAGCTTTTCGTGGTTTCAAACGTTCAAACATGTGATTTGATGTTGCTCCCATACATTAGGGTGGGTGTCAAGGTCACCTGAAGGTCAGGTAAGGTCATTGACCTTTGGTGACCTCGGGTGACCTCGGTTCACTTTTTCGAGTTTTACATGTTTTTAGGCTAGTTTTTTGGAGCTGAATTAGTTTTAGTGCCTTCGTAACATGTTACGAAGCTGTCAGAGGCGGTTGACACGTATTACGAATACCCGTCACAACCCCTACCGGTTGACCTGACCTGACCTGACCCGACCTGGTCTACATGCTTAAAAACATCATCTCTGATCAAAACTAACACGATATTCGTGATCAGCACCCCGGAAAACCACATAGCAGCCACTACGACTTTCTAGCAGGTCCCGATTTTCCCGGTTTTCGGGTCATTGACCTGACCTGGAAGGTCACCCGATGACCTAGGACCTTACAATTGGGTATCATCGGCTTCCTCTCGTGACGGGCAGCACGCTCGTTTTTTCCGCGAAGCTCTAGCTCGATCAGGGGCCAAACGCGAGGGGGGTCGTACCAACCCCCCCCCCCCCCTTGTGCCGTCGAAGGACGCAAAATGGCCTGTGCCGGCGAGGGTTAAGACGTCATAGTTAAGTGACCTGACATGAAAACGTGGTTGATTTCAAATGATCCGGCTTGAATCAAACATAAGGCATATGAAATGTCAGCCTTCTATCATCAGTGTGCTTTGAGCTCCCACAAAAAAAAAAAAAAACATGGTGGCGGCATCCACCCCTTTTTCTCGGCCGGCGAGGGTTAAACCTCGCTTCGAATTATTGCAGATAATGATGCGACCGAAAACAAAGTATCTATCTGTGTCTAGAACGGCCGCTGACTTGTTGGACAAGATCCCCAATCCTAATTTGCTAGATGGGAATAAAATACTCGGCATAAATTATGATACATATATACCCCTCGATTTGCCCTCGCGCTAAGTCAATTCTATTCATCACTGTCGCTTTTTATCCGAGATGATGTCGCCGCTAAACGGGTTGTTTTGTTTGCTTGCTTGCGTTGAATGGTCATTACGGATTATTGAAGGATTATGATATATAATAGGAATGGGGCAAGGGAGGATATGCACTGCAGTGCAGGTGTTTAATTTAGATCACAAAGGCATCATTTCCGGCATCGTGCAGTCACTATCTTCCCCTCCTCTGCACTGCGGCATCGCTGCGCCCCACACGCGGCGTCCTCACTCCACGGCCGGCCGCCGCCAACTGACCCACTCGCCGGGCGCCGCGACCTGACCCGTGTCACTGCCGCGGCCTGCGCAATAGAGTCGGGGCTGGAATCCGGGGGTTCGGCCGGCCGGCCGCCTCTGGAGCGGGGGACTTTTTTAGTAGACCTACTGTACCTATCAACTGAAAGTGCTCCTATACAATGAGAGGACTGCTCGAGCTCTTTCGTAACAAATTTCTCATGAACTGAATTCTCCGAATGTATGACTTCGTCGTTTATCTTTTTTTCAACCCGATAGTGTTTTTTATTGGTACTTGCCACGCAAAACATCATGAATATGACCATTATATGATTTCAGTCCGTTTATCATTACAAAACACTAGCGTTGATGTACGTTTCCACTTTCCAATGTATTGTCTCGATATACAGTATGGCAGCACAGACACCAAACGGCACATCACCACACGACGCGGCTGTCGTTCTGTCCCTGTCCCGACCGACGGCTAAACCATTACACCTCACCCCACCGGCCTCGGATCCCACCACCCACCGATCACAGCTTCAGTCCATCTGGCGCACAGGTCAGACCCCGACCCTCGCCGGGGGTCAACAGAAGCAGCACGCGCCGCCCGCGCACCTACACGGGACGGTAGCCGAAACCATACCGACCGACCGGTGATTCATATACGCAACTGCAAGTATTCTGCGGGCTATAAATGAGGCAATTCCAGCCCTGTCCCAGTGGGCTGGAGAAGGATTGGTATTCCAAACATTTACAAACATCTTGAGGTTGTTAGGTGAATTCGACATTCGTTGTTATTTTCATTCTGCTGCCATCATTTAGGGCTCAGAGACTGACCAACACTTGGCTTTACACTAAATTCCCATAGGACCTGTCCCTTCAATCGAACAATCAGACAACAGAGGTCGTCCACAAATAATATCGACAGAACTGTATAGCACCGCGCCCTACAGCGATAACAATCAAAGGCACGCAAATCACACACCAGGCACTGCCATCCCGGAACCAAGGGCGCAAAGACATCACAATAGCACACTTCTTTGGAATGATATTTCTATAGAGGTATGACCTATAGGTTCAGTCAGGGTCCATCAGTACCGTTCCGGATCTGTCGTCTCGATCGAACCACGCCTGTCAGCTGGAGCAGTGTCTGTCAGCTCGGTTTATCATGGCCCGTAAGCTCTCACCAGACAGGAAAAAGTCGCGGCGGCAGCAGCCCGCACACTCACTCAGCAGAACCAAGAACACTCGCCGTATCGTAAGGACGGATAATGGCGGACAGAATGCGCAAATGAAGAATAACGGCGACTTACAGGGCTCCGACTGCTAAGGCGGGGTGGGCGAAAATGCGAGACGGCTTGTACCTGTTCCAGAAATATGATCCAGACTCATAAGTTGCATAATGCATATCAAGAAGTATTCGATATCGTTGGTTGGCTAACGAAGCAACAAACATGATGCAACTGAACATGAGGATAGCAGACGCACAGCAATCAGCATGTTTCTACAAATGCATGGTTTAACTTTTTACCAGCGCATAGTTATATTGGCAGCCCTGCCACTGTCACAAGCCTCAGGTAAAGCTAGCAATTTGATAGAGGACCAACATTCAATTTAACCCCCGGTAGTTCTGGAAAGGTACTGCTCCATTTGGTAAATCCGCTAATGCCCAGACTCCAGTTCCCTTATCCCAATAATTGTACACACTGTGCGCTCATAGAGGGATTCTGCACCGTCACTGTGACAGGGCTCCTAACCGTCCTTCTGAAGGACAGAGGAGGGGAGGACCGGACAGAGGACAGACAAACACCTCAGTCGTTGTAACCATGGCGACCGAGTAGCGTAGTATCCATGGCAACAGGTACCGCAGCGGCGAGCTGGTCACTGCGCCGCCCGGCGTTGGATTATCGACTGATGGCCACCATTGGGTCTGCGCCACACAGTGGCGTGGAGGGCCGCGGCTGACTAGAACTTTGGTAAGAGAAGCACAGCCAAAGACAATGGCGTACACATCAAGCTAAGCAGAATGACTGAACAACTACCGAATGGACTGTCTTAGACCTTGACACGGATCATCCTCTGATTTAGTAAAACGATGGGCTGATGATGCCTATTTTGTACCAGAAGAAGAAAATTACGGAGTTTCGGCATTCACTCCATAAACTCAGTGGAACGATTCGGGAACAGGTAACCACTCAGTAAAAATAAAATGCAAAGCAAATTGACTAGATCTATCTTACTTGCGAGGGAAAAACTGAAACTGGCCTACATGAAAAATCCATCGCAACTTAGACCCACAAAATAATACACTTCAATCCCACGAATCCCTGATAAAAACACAGTAGTTGCATTTTATCAACGGTATAGACAGGTCCTGACCCATAACAAGTAACCTGGTTTGAAATGACAAACCATCACACAACTACAGACCACACTATGGCGACATAGCGACTCCTAGCCGAATTCTTACTGCCGCTCTCAGACCCAGGAGACTAACCAAAACTGGCTAATAGATAAAATGAACGGATATGGTATATGTAAGTACATGGACGTAACAAAAATGCACTCGAATGAAACACTTAAAATGCACTCTGCGAGCAATTACGTCCACTCATCCTTTGATCTGAGACGTACCACTCGTTCCACACAAACGCAATGCCTACAGACCACTGGCAAGAGAGCAATGAGTGGATAAAACTTCAGCCTAACAAAGGTGCCAGGATCCGCGAGCCCCGGACTGGAAGCCACAACAATTGGCGACAGCATGATGATGACGATGACGAACGGCGAGATGCGGTGACGTCGGCGGCGTCCTAGGACGTCTTCTTCTGCGACTGCTTCATGCGCTGCTCGCGGCGCCGCTCAGCGTCGGTCACCTGCGCCGGCCGCAGCTCGCGGAACTGGCGCTGGGGGCGGGCGAGAGCGTCAGTCACAGGTCAGCCACAGCTCAGTCACAGGTCAGTTACAGGTCTCAGACACAGCCGGACACAGGTCAGTCACAAGTCGGTCACAGGTTAGTAGCACGTCAGTCTCAGGTCAGCCACAGGTCTCAGTCACAACTCTGTTACAGGTCGGTCACATGTCGAACACAGGTCAGTCACAATTCGGTCACAGGTCGGTCACATGTCGGTCACAGGTTAGTAGCACGTCAGTCTCAGGTCAGACGTAGATGAGACATAGCTCGCACACAGGTCAGTTACAGGTCAGTTACAGTTAAAGACGGGTGCAATTCTGATTGTAACTAAAATTGCACCTCTTCTTTGCATGTTTTTATTATCTTACTTGTCTTTAAAGGTAAGTGAAATTTATTATCCAGGAGTTATAGCTTTACAAAAACTTGATGGTTGCTATAAGTTGGTCGATTTAACCAGTAAAAAACAACAAATTGTATACAGGCATTAACAATGTCATGCATTTCACTTCACTAATGGACGCAGAAGTGAAACAATAGCATTGTCCTACTCTCACTCCGCTCGGCGCTTGCCGGGCTATATGTCTCCGAGGAGCCATTTCTGTCACTCAGACGGTGATATCGATCACAAACACAGCTCAGAGTGGCACCCTGTGGCTATTGTTTGGTGTTGGAGCGGCAGCCGAGCGTGGCTGATGCGTTCGCTTGAGCAGCTCAGGAATCAGCGCGAAACGGAAACGAAATGGAAACGGAGGTCATAGGTGGACGGGTCCAACGATCCTAGCACCACCTGTTGACTGTACCCGCAAGTTACGGTTCACGCCGTGGCATTTTGCAGTGCATTGAAGGGATGTCAATATTAGCTGATGACGTATTTGCAGCGATAAGTATTAGCTATATAACGATAATCTAGCAATCCCAGTGGTCGCATCATTAACCCGTTAACAGACTTATTTTCGTGTCCCTAGCTAGGCCCAGCATCGCCAACAGCTCCCATCTGGGCTCAGCCTTGCCGATACATTTTGCCGACGCCCCCAGTGCCGTATGCCGATACCCCTGCTGACTACATACCCTCTCGACAATTACAACCCTGCAGAAACCCCTGCCTCACTGCCTACACCCCTGCCGATACTAGTGGTGTCAATCGGAACTTGAATCTTCGGAATTCCGATTTTGTACAATGTCCAATTCGGAATTTGGTTGGACAATGACAGCAGGCTTTGGACAACTTTGGACAATCGCTTGCTACACCTCAATTTTTTTTTATAAAGTAATCGTGTTTAACATTGATTGGCCATTAGAAAGCTCAGTTTTCCATATGATTAACACTTTTGAGCTGGTAACGATACATTAAAAGCGAATCAAATAACGGTGTTGAGTGTAAACTATTGCGTAGATGTCGGACATCTTTGGACAAATGGCTGGCTTGGACATTTTTGGACGGACAGTCGACGTAAGTATTGGACATTGGACGGACATTAAACATACGTTTTCTGAAATTGACACCACTAGCCGATACCCAATATAGACAAGCGTCTGTCGACACCCCCTGCCGACCCCTCTGCCAACACTCCGACCCCGTCTCCTCACCAGCTGATCGTTATCGGGCACACGCGAGAGGAAGTCGAGCAGTTCGTTGTTGGGGATGGCGTTGGGGCGCAGCAGCTTCTTGGAGAACTTGTGCACGCCGAACAGCATGACCAGGTAGCGGATGGGCACGTTGTACAGCACGACGGCCACCACCGAGAGCACCAGCACGGCCAGCCACGAGAGGAACGGCACCGTGAAGTTAAACGTGCTGAAACACACAGCGGGCGTGACGCAGCCGTGAGGCGAGGGTAGGTGCTGAGAGAATCAGCGGTCATGGCGAAGGCGTGAGGTGGTGCAAGGTGCTGAAGCATATAGCGGTCGTGGCGAAGACGTGCAAGGCAGGTGAGGTGAGGTGGGTGAGTTAGCGACACGGAGGTTCATTGTAATGACAGGATGCTAGGATAATAGAGGCGGCGGGATGTGGGTGGTCGGGGCGATATGAGGCGAAAAAGGAGAGGAAGGAGGGATGAAGGAGAACAATAATATATGTATCATGGTAATCCATGAATGGCTACCAGACATTACAGGAGCAAACATCGATCATACAAATGGATATTCCAGCCCGATCCGTCAAACTCTTATTGTTCTAACATAATTCATTAGTCCGCCCATCCACAAAAGCTTCCGTCACATTTGAATGCTATCTCATTTTAGTGTTATACCATGCATCAGGCCAGCCACAGCCACCGATGAGCACCACACTGAGCGCCACAGGGGGCAGTGCGGTCGGTTCTGAGCGGCACCCACTTTTGGACACACTCGCCGAGCGAGGCGATGTAGCCGAGGATGTTCTGTACCATGGCCGTCACCTCCTGCACCGCCATCAGCTTCTCCTTCAACGACTTCTTCTCGTCCTGCAGCGACATAGGGGTCCTGACAGTCAGCCAGGGAGGGTTGTAGAACATGGGGACTGAGTATCATGTTAGAAGATATATTTGGAAATGAGACGAGGCGTTGTAATGGACAATGCTTGGACGGGGCCATGACGGGGCTCAACAAATCACCCGCGCGTGACATCATGGTAGTAATTCGTCAGCGCGGAAAGTTAAAAATGACTGGGAATGTCCATGGGTCATCAAGATAAAATAGATCCGCACTTTTGACCTTCTGTGGCTGTACTTCCCTACGCAACTGAAAGAGTATATTTGCCCTGTAATAAGACCCAGAAAAACATGCATCGAAAACGTTGAAGGATAAAATTCGTATAGATTTCTTGAATGCATGCACAACCTTCAAAATGCTTCGTAATCGTAAAACAAAGTCATTGGTAGCATAAATAACAGTAAATTATATCATGAAAATTGATAGGAAAGTCACTATACCCTACTTGTATTCTCAGGATTATGTTGACTAGATTCTAGTTATATTCTGGCATGTAGACATGAAATATATAGCATGAAATATATGTTATTACCATATACTATCTATCTAATTTGTTTACTTCTAGTAGGTCGTACCGCACCCGATATAAGGGAATACTGCTAGCCTATTTATCGTTCAGTAAATGCATGTAGGCCCCTTTCAATGCTTTTACTGGCATATGCGGAGTAAAACAAAATGAAAATCACGGACAGTGTGTTTGCTAACGGGTCAACCACAGCACTCGCCCGTTCTTTGCATCTTCAAAAGCCAGGACTGAAGTTCCAATCGTTACAATAATAAGCGGCAACCCAAGGCATAACAATCAGCATGCATCAAATGGAAACTGTGGGCAGCCAGCTACTGAACAGCAGCCGCGCGGGCTGCAGAAAACGCCCCACCACCGTCCACCAAACCGGCCTGTCCCGGCGCCGAGCGGCAGCCGGTCAGCTGGGAAAGTGTCAGACCAAACGCTACTCACATCTCCCGAACTCTTCTTGTCTTTGGCCTGTGGACACAGCGGCACATGAAAGGACTGTCTGGATAGTCAGGAGCTCACCTCGCTTCTCAGCAACCGTGATACCGTGAGGTGAGGGTCACACAGACATGCTGCACCGTCTACCAAAAACGCTCAGACACAGTCAAATAGCGGAGAAAAAGACATCGAGTAGTGGCAAAAGTCAGTGCTCCGGATGAGTTAGTCGGGTCGCGTGGAGGTTAGTGCACATTCCCCTGACAGGTGAAGTGAGTTAGTCACTCTCAGTTGCGCGCAAAAGGAATACAAGGTTCAGCCGATACACAGAGACAACTACACACGACGTGAGGGAGGCCTGGTCGAAGCAGCGCCACACACCTTATCCTTGTCGTCATCTTCGTCGTCGTCGTCGGCCACGTAGTCGTCGTCGTCGGCGCTACGGAAGCCGGCGGTGACGAGGTTCACCTGAGGAGCACGTCAGCACGTAGTTACAATCGGTAAGGCGCCAGCACGGGTACAAAGGCACCCTCAGTGACAGGCCCTCCTCAATGACAGCACCCTCAATGATCGGTGTTGCTGCTAAACAGTTGTTCTCAGAAGAAGTCGCAGTTTATAAGTGTCGGTTGAGAGCTTGTTGAAAGTCAGCGACTGAATTGCTTACTTATTGCTTCATAAGCACGCAATGCTAAGCTAAGTACAGATCTGGCACTTCCGACGAACACCTGATAGCCTTAACACAAAACGATGGTAGCAAGCCGGTACTTTTGCACCGTTCCATGCTTCTATCCTCAGGATACTGAAATCCTTCTCCTCCACGCCACAACCCCCTCCGGGCTGGACAGGCAACTTTATCTCATGCGGGCTGCTCCATTGGAGCGGCACCGCTGCTCCCGAGGGAGCGCACCCCGTAGCCGGGTGCAGTGAGTGTCTTGGGGCTGGGTGGCCTGTCCTCTGGACGGGCTCAGCCCCGGCGACTCACTAGGGTGCCTGCCCAGACCAATGTCTCCCCCTACATCCTATCATCCTCCCGGCTCTGAAAGGGTCTCATTGGACCGAAAGGGCCTAACCCAACAAAACAAAACAAAATCGGTACTTTCTGCTGATATGCCCATGCTCATCAAATATCTTAAATATCTTATCCGTCGGTATTTTTCATATCTAAGACGTAACAACAGGGCCACTTATGATTCTACGAAAGATTGAATATTCTTAAACCATCAGTGTTTGATTTCTTAGCTGCGCAAAAGAAACTCCAGCTATCTCTGACGATTATTAACAGAAGTTACAAAAATCAACTACTAGAGCTCCTGACGTCACTCACCACCCAGCCCTTGAAGAAGACGACCAGGAGTGCGACCGGCGCCATGTACAGCTCGAACGAGTAGGCGCCCAGCATGAAGGCGAAGAAGGCCGCTATCGTCCGTGGTTTCGACTCCCAGTCGAAAATACTCCTGTGCACACAGACACAGTAGACTGGTGTGAGTGGATAAACATGGTGCATTTGTTTGATATACATGACAGGCACAGCAGCTGCCCAGTGCAGTTGGGGCATGTATGACTGGTGGCTTTTTGGCGGTAGCAGAAATGGAGTCATGTTAAAATCACGGGCGTCGCTAGTGTCACATCGTCCAGTGAGACTGGACAGTGACGACAAACACAAGTCAAAAGTAACGTAAGTACGTAGAAATGAGAAGCATTTGAGCATCAACGCATGGACTATGTGAGTGGACATGACATCTGTACGACTTAGTTGCTATGTACAGCGTGTCCCAGAATTGACCGAACACTGTTAATCAGTACATATGATACGGGAAAATCAATTGCACTTTTTTCTTTTCATCGTCCGATACCGCCAGTAAGGGTAGCTTCGAAATGGCACTTGCAATAGACACGCAAGCTACAACATTAGCCGGCAATTGTAGCTAAATGCCAGACGATGCTGGCTTGAGTCGTTTTACGGATCTCCCGAAACTGGTTGTAAGACGGGTTTCATTGACCTCTTGCCGGTGGATACCATAAATATTTTCGATAAACTTTGCATCCAAACTGTTCCCAGGCATTCTCTCCCAAAACCAAAAATTCTGCCTACACCGCTGTTGCGCTGTTTTTTGTTTTTTTTTTTTTTTTTGACATCTGAAGTGGAAAACCTCCATGTCTGAACATGGTGTGACCTTTGGAGTCCAACAGATTTGGTTTCCAGAACAAACCCGTTTATGGCCATTCAGTTCACGACAACCAGTTTTTGTAATGCTTGAATGCTACCGCAGTAGCAATCTGTGTTAACGGTCGTCTTTGAGGCATCGTATCAAGCTGAATGAGTGCACCGTGGCTCAAAATGTCTCACACTTTGATTTTCGACGAGTGCCTGGCCGTCTCCGCTGTTGGGGCGTTGTCACCATCTGTCGTCCACACACGACTTTTTTGTCGCTTCAAAGGGCAGAATACCTTCGTAGGACCACAAAGTGTGTTTCCATTCACTTTTTTGTTGCATATGTTATGATTTATTGCTGCTTTGTAGCGATTTGCGCTGTCTTTCCGTTAGTTTTGGCATATTTTTCAGATGAGGGGCCCCAAATTCCAAAATTTTGTCGAAGATAGTGGTCAAAAGTAGACTGATGTTTCGTAGCTAGCCCTGATCTGTCGTTTAGCTTGTTTTGGGTAGATGGGTGAAGTTTGTTGTCCATGACATGGCAGCCAGCCGCTTGACGACTGGTGCATGCTCCTTTTTGGTCGCGCCCAGGCTTTTCGATCAGGTAATCTCCTGCTCTCTCTGGCTTCGCTCGCTGATATAACTGCGATTTGCTCATCCCTGCCTGATTGCAAATGAGCTACTGGAGCTCTTCAGCAAGAACCATGCCGAAAGTCCGTTTACGAACTTCAGAATTGCACTTTATTCACCATGATTGCCTTTTGGTTGCTGAGGCTGAAAACGAAAAGGGACTACTCTTTGCTGACTCTGGATAATAACTGACTCGAGTCGTGACCGGTCATCAAAAACACAGTCTCCAAGCTCGATAGCTATGATATGTCTTATAAAAGTATAATGCTCGTATCTAATTAGAATCGAGCGCAATCGTACTTTTAGCCAGGAAATAAATGTTCGGTCAATTCTGGGACACCCTGTATATTCACACAGAGTTCAGCGTCAGTGAACTTTGGCTGTGTGATCAGTGAACCGACTTGATGAACTTTGCTCCTTCGGCAAAGCCGGCGCCCATCTCCTTGAGCCGGTTGACATTTCTGATGAAGACTGCCCTCTTGAACTTGAGTTCTGGCCTGGTGTACTTCTCTTCGCGCGGGTTGAACGTGCGAATCGCTGCCCGTGCCTGAAGGTAAATAAATGATGTCAACAAAATAGAACGTCAACAGCAGTAACTAGTAACGTCGGCGCAAGGAAAAGCCACATCATTGATGAAAATGACAGGAAATTAGGGACATCAAGACAAAGAGGTGGCAGCGTTGACGTACGAGCATTGTGCAAGTCGTTGTCCAGTGAAAGCCAACCAAAAAAGCAAAGAAAGAAACGTAAAGAAACCGGAAGACAGCGACCATGTACAGGAAGGATATCAGATTTCCTGAATTCCTGTAATCAGTGAGACACACGCTTTGACCAACCACTTTCTAGTGTTATATAGCAACAGTCACATCGACAATTATTAGAAGTATTCTGAGACTTATCTTCCTGAAATAAGGAGCAACGCAATATATTCATAACCAGAGATTCTCCCTGGCGAAAAACAAATCACCACATGAGGAGGTTCGATCGCGCGCTGCTGGAGTACAAACACCCTCAGCCGGGCCGCACCGGTTCTGTTATCTGCTCTTTGGAGGGGCGCTCCATCACGACCTGTCAATACTCCAGGATCGGGTGTTTTGTTTGTGGAATCCACTTTCGTAGGAAAGGATAAACGGCTAGGGCGAGCCACGCTAACCCTCGGTATAGATTACCGGACCGCGGCGGTCGACCGCTCCTTTCTCTGCGATGAAAATAAGGATGTAGCTATTTGGCTTCCTCCCTACCATCTCCACCCACTTAGGTAAAGTGATATTGATTTTCAGGCTGCATAATGTATGCAGACATGCTCAGTACAAACGATGAACGGTAATAGCTGCGATGAACTACGATATGACGTTATGACGTTCCCGCTATCAGCGACCCTATTTCCGTACACGCTTTCTAAGATAGCATGGCTGTGCCAGCCGTCACATGACACCATGCGGCTCAAGCCGGGATTTATCCCGGCTTGAGCAGACTCGATGATTAAATTCCATCATTCGCTGCGCTTTAGCGCAGCGAGTGGCCCGGGTTGGTCTATCAAAGTTCAGCAGGCAGACAGCTTAAACCGATTACATATATCCAAAGACTCGAGCTGCGGTGCTGTCTGAAATAATTATGAGTGCCAAATGGAGAATATGTCAAATGGAGGTGTTTTGTGGATACATATTCCTACAAAAGTAGTAAGCGACATATAGTTATTTCCGTTCCTTTTTCAAAAAGAAAGAAAGAAAGACGTTTAATGATTGGCTTTTAGACAGTAACAGGCCTAAATAGTTATGTGCTAAGCAATATCCAATAGCATACGAAAAAGGACGGTGTGCGTAACAGACACAGTTACGATTATGCCAATATGTACTGCTCCGTGCTTACCGGGTTCCAGACTAAAACCATTTCCTTAGTGCTTACCGGGTTCCAGACTAAGTCCATTTCCAGCATCACTTGAGGGTTGTTGCCCTTAGCTCTGCCCAGCAGCTTTTTGTCTTTGAGCGCGTACCATCGTCTCTCCTGGTCGGATCTGAGGAGGAGACACATCGTCCGTGGTGGGATTTGAGCTGCTGCGACCGGCCCGATACAGACAGAGCGACGGCCTCCTATCGGATAAACGGACCGGCAACAGGCAGCGCGTCCTCTGCAGATAATACTGTAAACTAGCGGTCCCGTTTGACACTTCGGCAGCTCCGTAAACAAACAGCAAAATGTTACATGCAGGAATCACAGCAATCTAGCACAGCCTAATCTTTAGCAGAGGGATTAATACTTTTACGAGGAATTCGACACGTCTTTACCTTTGTCGAGACATACACTACCTATATAATTTAAGAAGCTCGATTAGTCTTTACCTTTAGCAGAGGGATGGACACTTTCCCGAGGAACTCGACCTTGTGGTCCTTGTCCTCGTCATACACAGTTACTTCCAGCACGCTGTGGATGTCCTTCACGTTGCTGCAAAAGATCAGCACAGGTCATCGATCTATGCTCGTCGTCTACCATTGTTACTCTCGGTCTCACCGTTGATTCAGTCTTACCACGATCAAGTTTTTCGGACTACATCGCAACGTAGTTCTTAATTCAGGTAAGTTATGCGATAAATGTCCTATAAAAGGGTACAACCGGTTAGCTCATAGCCCACACATAACTACGGACTTTCTAGGAGTACGATAAAGAGCTAGCGGCTGTTTGCGAATATCAAATGTCCTCCCAAACCCCATAACTGACAGAGCACGACTCACAAGAAGAATATCTTATTCCACTGCGGCGACAGGGTCTTGTACTCTGTCTGCGTCTGTAGACGCGAGTTGACCAGCTCCAACACGCAGAAAGGGTCCGACTTGCCGCCAATGTCGGCCGACGCCAGACCCATGGCCTTGAACACCTTCACCGTGAGGTGGCCAACCTCCTTCACCTGCTTCAGCGTGTTCCGCAGGTTCTGTAACAGCGGAAACAGTGCAACGTCAGGTGGGAACTTCCAAACGGGAGAGTAGAGAGCTTCATTTTACTGCGAGCCGCTGCGCTTACCCGACTGACAAGAATGGGAGCATTTTCAAGTTCCATGTAAGTGTGAATGTGACTCGCATATTGATAAGCCAGATCAAACAAACGAAGGACGAACTGTCAAATGTCATGAACCGTCCGAATACAAAATGCTCAGGGAGTCTCGTTGCATTCTAAATAACCCAGTGTTTCAATTAAAACCCACTTAATCTCCCCAGCCCAGCCGTGAGCGTCATTAAATTACAGCAGGTCGTCTCTGCCGAGTCAGGTCGTCTCTATACGACACCGCCAGGATGCCATGAAAACCCGAAACGGCCGGCACCGGGAAATGTCACCAGCAGTCTGTCGCCACGACCGACTCCCGGGGGCGCGGGTGCCAGTCAGGTCAGTCCAATATGACCCCTGGCGCCCCTGGGGGCCGCACCGACCGACCACGTCCCGCCGTATGACACCGGCCGCCGCGCCGGTGCTGGTCCCTGGGGTCGTGCCGCGGCTCGGACGATGGTGGTGTGACATATTCGCCAGCTGGCTTACCCCGCGGCGCTAGCGGGGCGGCAAATATCGCTCCGGTGCTACACTTCCAGGAAATTGGGGGTACTTTCACGGCTGTATGAAATGTCACAGTCTGGATAAATTTCAACCACTACCCAAAGTGAAATGGTAAGCGACCGCCGGAAATTTAGTCTCTCCGCTCTCAAGTAACGCCTGCAAAAATATGCCCCAAATTAAACTTAGTAGTAATCCACATAAGTTCCTCCTGCACCAATCATTTCCACCCCTCGCGATACCCAATCCCTCTGCTCCCTCTCTCCCCCTAGACGCTCTCTCCCTCCTCTCGCTCTGTGTTCGCTCACAAACTGTTTTCGGATGGTGTCCACTTGCTCGGGGTCCTCCTGGTAGGTGAGCAGGTCCGAGATGGTCTCCACGTTGGTCATGCCGGACACGGTCAGCAGGATGAACACAGAGCCGGCGCCGTCCTCCAGCTCACACCACAGACGGTGGGTCTTCTCGCGCTCCAGCTTCGAGATGTCCACCGTCGTCCTGCGAAATACATTGCATGGGTAGAGTCACTAGGGGGTGAGTTTACAGGGCACAGCTATTGACGATAGGATTTTAATTAGCAAGTAGCATCAAAACGTATCAAAAGAAAGGAAACTGCGAAAAAGCATAGCTGAGGTACGACTCAACGATACCAATGCCTACAATTTAGCATTCACGCTCGCTTATCAGTTTCACATTCCATTTAAATTGCATCCATTACCTACGTCGATCCTTCTAAAAACGGAGTCCCTTCCCGTTCCAGCATCCCGCCTAGACTTCTCACCGTCTCCCAGACCCCTGTCCCTTCCTCCCTGCCGTATGACAGCCCAGCCCCTCAGACCTTCCTCCCTCCTCCAAATCCTGCCAGCCCTTCCAGACCAGACCACTCACTTTCCCATGAAATCATCCTTGCTGCGCGCGTCGTGGTCGAACACCTCAATCTCGAGGATCTGCGAGCCGCTGTCGTACAGGTGCATGTCGAACTGCTCCAGCCAGCGAGGCGTCAGCGTGCGGTCCTGTACCTTGCTCTTGTACTTCTCGGCACCCAGCCTGTCCGAGGGGAGGGGTAGGGAAGGGCGGAGGGGGGGGGGGGGGTCAGCACGCATACCGGAGGTCATCAGACTAGTACGCTAAGGCCGAGGATTAATTTGCTAATTAGATGGACCTGTAATGGGAAGGGCTACATGCAGGCTAATGTAATGATGCCACCCGAGGCTCCTTCTGTTAATTATGTAGCTCCGTCGTGGAAGGGCTGTGCCCTGTGCAGTTGCTGCATGCCGCTATGTTTATGTGTGATTTTCTTTAGGCCCAGAATGTCTCTGTTTTTATGATAGGTTATATAAACAAAAAAGCATAGCTTCGTTGCGAAATTGCACGCACATTACAATTCTTACCTGAGTTTGACGTATGGGTCACTGGTTCCCTCCGAGTCCATCGCCATGAGATCCTTGGC